TAATTTAAGGATATTAGGCTCAGCAAAGCATTACATAATTGAATCTATTTTTTTTCCCTTATAAATGCCAGAGTTATAATTTCCCCTAACTAGAGACAAAGTTATATCCAGGACATTTTCACAGCTTCCTCCAGGGGAGGCAGCATGAAGATAATGGAAATTAGGGCTCTAGTCCTTACTTCCCCATATGATGAGCGCACCAGCCCATGGACTCTGTGAGCCTCAGTTTCTTCAGCTAAAACGCCTGACCTTCCAAGGAGACGTAAAAGAGATAAGCATGTTGGTAAACTTCGTAAAGTGCAAAACAAACATAGATTAACATCACCCCTCTATTTATTTATGAAATGCCTAGTCAACTTCAGAGATCATGAAATGTAAAGCAAAAACATAAAATTGCTGGCAAGCCTAGAGAATGGGTTTGACATTACTTTTTATACAGAGCAAAGATTTATCATATTACTTCCTTGCAACGTGATGAGGCTAACAAATGTCAAAGCCAGAATAAAAGATTTCAACTGTTTTCTTGCATGTTGACCTTTGGCTAGTATACACTATTATCTGTCTATGTAGACCTCTGTGTCTGCACAGAGCACTCTGACAATGTACAAAAAAACCATGTTCCATCTTATCACACACAACACTGACAGATACCCAAGAAGTTCTGACTCCGAGTCTCTAGGTCCAGGACTCAGGCACTGTTATGGAAGGGAGGTACTTTCTGTGGAAGAGCCGGGGGTGGAGGGGAGAGAGAACTTGTGAATCATTTCTCAAAAAGTCTTTGAAATAGTATCAAATGTCTGTTCACACCTGTGTTGTCACCAGTGGCTGTCTCCTTATTATTGTTGTTTAAGTAGAGAAACATTAACACGGTGAAGCCACTCTGAACAATTAATTGTGGTTTTTAAAATTAGTAAATGTGAAATAGATAGGTTAAGCCAGCCTGATTTCTTATTAATAAACACTGAATATTTAGAATGTGGAAAACATTTCTATGACAAAGTATTCTTAGAAGATTCATTCAGTATAATGGCTTTTACGGATCACTAAAGCACTATAAGAGAATTTTAAGAAAACTGAACCCCAACTCCGCCTCTGCAGATCTCTCTGCCTGTCTATCTGCCCACCTGCCTACCCATCCACCCGCCCATCCAGCCATTTTTTCTCCCACTAAACGGTCATTTGCAAATACTGTTTTCTTAGGTGGCCCAGAGCAGATTGCAAAGTGGCTGAGTGCTACTGCAGGTGCTTTGCCCACTTTCTGATCACATCTATTTCATTGTGGTTCACTCGGTTGGGAGGGACATGCGGGAGAAAAAGGAGTCTAGTGAGAACTATTAATATATTTACTAACATTATCTACTAGGCTTTGAAAAACCCTAAAATTTGTATCACATAAACACGTATATACCGAAAAGACTATTTCTGTTTAGATATTGAATTATTTTGTAATTGGGCAGCATTGAAGCAGTCACATGGTTTTCAAATCAAATAGAACTCAAAGTGGTTTACTTGCGTATGATGTTGCTTTGCATTTCAAGTAATGTGATTGAAATATATAAAATCAAGAGGCTGCTCCTGAAAACGGTGCTTTTAAAATATTCTCTACTTCACAGAGAATCCGAGCTCTCCTCTCTTCCCGTGGAAAAATGGATTCAGAGATCCTCTTTGTCTTTAAAAGAGCTGACCTCTCTTGGCATGCTAAGCGCTCTGCTCAGTGGAGCAGCCATTTGGGTTTCCTCTTTTCAAGATGATCAGGCCATCATCACCTTCCTTCTCTCAACCCTACTCATCAAAGGTCACAAAAATGGGACAAAAATCCTAGCGCAGGGATACCACTGACATGGTGCTTAAAAGAAAACCAGGGAAAAAATCCAGACCTCAGTTGGTACAAAGAAAAGCCAAATTATTCAAAACTATAAAATCAAGTTATTGGAGTTGGAGACATTGCCAATCACCAACGTCCACAATATTTTCAAAGTAGCAAGGTGCCTTACATTTGCACATGAATTGTGTTGGAGAGGAATCTATGAAGGGACAGAAATTTCCTTTAAGCCTCCTCTTCATTCTGAAAACTCCATTTGCATGAACGTAGGCTGAGGACTCAGAAGCAGCAAAGGGATACACAATCTGCTGAAACCGAGGAAGCGCTGGCTGCCGCCTGACGCTGCCGGTGCAGGGTTGTGACGGGCGGGCGGAGCGAGTGCTGCCCTGACGCACATGTCGGCGCTGGCCAGCTCCATCTGCCCACGAAGCAGTCCCGACGGCACTGGAACTTTGTTACTAATTACACAAAAACAGAACTGAAGGGGAAGACTAGAGTTGCTCGAATGAAGATTTATTACTTCTAAGCATGAAACCACTTTAAGCCTAAACTTACTTGACAACTAGTGCAGAGGAAGGATTTTCTTCTTTGGTGAGTTCAAAAGGCCTGATTTAATGATGTTTAAAAAACAACAGTAAATCAGCCAACAAAGAGAACGTTTCTCTTTTATGGTTGCTTGTTCTCGACTCCCCCGTCCCGTGGCAGACACATACCCAAAGCTATATTGTAAAGAGAGTTTCTGTTTTGCATGAAAAAATCTAATTATATAAACTCTCTTACATATGGAACCTATTTAACTATTAATACTGAGAGGCACTAGGGAAGTATTTAATATGATTCTGGGCCAGGTTTCCCCCCCTCCCCCGACCCTTCAATCTGATACGGAAACATTTACTGCATTCCTCATGTTCCCACAAACTATTTCTCTTTAGTTTAAATTTGCACCCAGGCAAGATAATCCCATTAAAACACAGGATGTTATGATATTGGGAATAAAGTATCCTAATTATCAAGATGCACTGTAATTCTCTCTCTCTGTCTCTCTCTCTCTGGTGTATTGAAAACTGCCTTGCCAGTACTTCTGAACTACTCTTCTCGAAGCACAATACTACGAATCCATTATCTTATGGCAGCCAGAGGTCACTCCAAGACAAATGTGTGGGCTAGAGCTTTGGGGGGATGAGGGTGGCAGTGTAATTCTCATGATATTGTTAGTGAGGGATAGTATAAAAGTTCACTTTGTACCAGAAGTACAAAAGCAAAAAACCCTATATGCTTGGATACATCAAAATTAAAATATTAAAACATATTTTATTGTTTGGTTACTGTTCATTAGAGGAACCAGTCCTAGCTTCTCATCCTTGTCCCAATCAACACAAATTATACTAAATGAAATGGACAAGGACTGGCTTTGGCACCTCCCAACTAGCAAAATCTATTTTATAACTTAAAGGGAAAAAATGAAAAAAATGTCTGAATTACAAAGGATATGAGTCATTTTATTCTTAACAGATTAATGAAACATAGAAAATAGAATTTAAAAATTGGGGGGGAGGAGAAGAGGAGGATAGGTTTCTTTTACATGAAAGTCGGTAGAAAATCTTCACATTTTTTCTTTCCAAAATGATTTTACATGTTTAAGAACGTGAATCACAGGGAGTTTTCCACTACTTTATCAGTTGCATATTCTAAAAATTATTATATCCTATTTCCCGCAAACCACAGAAAAAAAAAAGGACAAAATTTGCTGTGGGCACGTTGTAGAGAGAATTTCATCTCAAGCAGCTCCTCGCAGCGTCCAGTACCTTGCGTCCTGTTAATAATTAATAAAAGAAACGCCACCCAATCTCGAGTGAGAAAGGCAAAGCTCGATGATCCGAAAGCAAACCCAGCGCAGATATCGAACCAGTGCCTTCCTCCTGGATTGCAACAAAACCTCAACCTAGCAAACATTTAACAAGCGGCACCCGCATGGATGGCGGAACCCGCAGGGCAGTTTGGATCTGCAAAAATGCAGCGCATTACAGGAGCTCTGTCCGCGGCAAACAGATGGGAATCTAAATCCCCATTCCCAGCGGCCGGGTCTGCGAAGCCGCTCGGGCAGATTATCTAACCCCAGGAACCTGCTGTTGCAAGAGCGCGCTGCGAGCGTGCTGAGCGGACTGTCTCTGGGGGTGTTTTCAACAGTCCTAAGAGCGTGTCTCTCTTGCTCAGCAGCACAGGCGACTTCCTGCACACCTCCAAACTTTGGTTGCCCATTAGAAACTTCCTTGACTTGCCATTGTTTCTTTCCTCCTCACCTGCGAGGGCCTCGAGATAGTCCTGTCCTCAACCAAAGCCCCCTGCCATGCCGTCACTAGTCTGAACACGGAATCCGGATCAGGGCGAAGGCCGGGTGGACAGGCTTGGCCGCGACTCACCCGCGCTGGTCGGCCCTCACTGCCATCTAACCTCCACCACTGCCCGCAAATCACACAACCCAAAGTATCAACTGGGGGGGTGCGCTGCGGCTGCGGGCTGCCGCCAAGGGAGTCTTAACACGCTCTAGAAGCCCGTCTCACTTGGGCCCGGGCACTTTCGGAAGTGGCCCGGCAGAACGCAGCGCGGACCTGCCGCACTTCCCCGGCGGGCGGCCGCTCCCGACTGCTGGGCCGCCAAGGGGGGAGGGCGCAAGGCCTGGGGCGCTGACCAGTCCCCAGGGACTACATCGTGTCCACAAACACGCACGGCCCAGCCTGGCCACAGAGCCTTCCTTCTCCACGTAGGCCGGAGATGTCTCGGGTGTGGGCCTCGGGGACTGGCCGCAGGCGACCCCGGCTTTCTGCGAGCTCCCCAGGCCCTCCCCTCCCTTCCAGAAGCGCAGCGACGGCCGGCAAAGTTTCTTCCGGGAGCCCCGCCAGGTGCTAGGCGGACCCGAGCAACTGACAGGAGCCGGACTAGGCGGAAGAGGGGGTTCCAGCTCATGCGCCTTTGCCCCCAACAGGAGACAAGCAGAGCCCACTGCCAAGCTCAAGTGGCGCCGCTGCGCGGGCCCCGAAGGCCCCGGCGGGGCTCCGGCGGCTAGCCCCGGGCAGTACGTGCGCTCGGGCAGGCGCGCCCACCCCTCCCCCTGCGCGCCCGCCTCCCAGCCTCCAGGAACAGACAGCCCACCCGGCCCCGGCGGGGCGCCCGGGCTCACCTTTCATCGCTGCGATCACAAAATACATCATTTAAGCCGCGGTGCGGAGAGTGCAGGGAGAGCGGATGGTCCGATCCCGGAGCCCCCTCTGCCGCCGCCGCGCCGCCACCGCCCGAGCCACAGCAGCAGCTGCCGCAGCTGCCCGCCCGCCGAGAGCCATCCCGAGCCATAAGAGGCTCCATGTGACCGGCTGACATCACGGCCGCCGCTCTGTTTACACCGCGCCCCTCCGCTTCCTCCCCGGGCGGGAGGAGGGAGGCGGGAGGCAGGCGCACCCCGCGCCGCGCCCGCCCCGCCCCCGCGGCCAGGTGAGCCGAGGCTGTTGGGCGGCTCAGCTCTGCCCGCCTTGCCCTCCCGTGCCCTGGGCCCGAGCCCGGGACCCCGGCCTTCTCGCCTACGTGTGGACCTGGGGCCGCCCGGCGCTTTCTGCATGCGTAGCTCCGCGGAACTCGCGCCTGACCACTTTCTTCCCTCAGCCCTAGGAGCAAGAGGCACGCAACGCAATGCCACTTTCCCGCTCCCTTCTCGGAGTCCTCCGAGGTGTTAAATAATCCGGCTAGTTGGCATAAAAGACGGATTTGGTCTCGGGGGTGGGGTGGGCTTAGCCAGACTCATTACGCATTTTCCAGGGTGCCCCAACTCTACTCCGAAGGTAGAGCCCCTCCGGATCCACGGAGAACGCAGCCCCCCAATCACCTGGAGCAGTGAGCTAAGCGCCTCCTAAAGTCTTTCCTGAGAGAATCAGGCTGGGCAGGGGGAACACATATTGGTAACTCACGTCACACCAACAACTAAGGTCCTGAGCTACAAATGCTTCTCTTCCTACATACCCTCTCCCTTCTTTTCCTTCCCCCAGCACCCAAGCACTGACACCTGGAAGAAAAGCTCCAGGAGACCCCCCAGTTTGGGCCGCTAAATTTCCAGGCTCTTCCAAATCTTGGGTTCCATCTCAGAGAACCCACTCACAAGTAGAAAAGGCTCTAGCACAGGGGTGAAAAAGACTTCTAAAGGTCAGCGTTGTGAATTTTAACTTGTAACCAGTTCCCTCCAAACTTTGAAGCTTAATCTTTTTTTACTGGCTTTACGGAAACTTAAATAATGACATTATTATCAGATGAATCTCGGTATCATGAATTTCAGGTGTTAGTTATCCAGAGTCCGCATCATTTAAAATTACATCAGGCGTATCTGTAGTATTGAGCATAACAGAAAAAAAATGATCAAAAGCCAAGTTTGCATACCTACTATTGTCCCTTCAATTCTGCTTTATTTTTCTGATGGTCTGTTTCCATTTACAACTTAAAATATTAGACAGTTATTCCTTGTTGCACTTATGGTGATTAAAGAAGCAGAGTGCTAGAATTTTTTCCATATAACTGAGTTGTCCTTGTCCCATGAGCTGGGCCGTCATTTAAAACACACGTCAACAATCAGCACTGTAGGAAGCTAGGATCATACACTGCCCACCCGACTCCCTGTCAAGGCAAAATATACACAAGCTTCTGATTTAGAAGGTCAAAAAATTTCATTGTACCTTAAATCAAGCCATAGCTTTATAAAAGTTTGATTTCAGCTAAAGTCAACCTAATGGAGTTTTTTCTTTAGAATTTTTTCCAAATAAAACCACAAAAACAAGAAAAGAAGTCATAAAAGTATGAAGCCAAGACCTACCCATGTTAACTCAGCTGTCCAGCCATAGCGAAGTGGGCTAGAGTTTCAAATGAATTAACCATACCCTCTGTGATGTTTACAATTATGAAATTAAATCACACCATGTTCCCATGATGCAACTGCATCTCTCAATTAGGCAACACCCCTCAGTTACCCTGACACCATCATTCACATTTGGTTCTCAATTTTCTTTGTGCTAAGGACTAACGAGGAAGGCTAATGTCAAGCTATCTTGTAAGTAGATTCTGGGTACCATTTTTCTTTCCTTTATACAGTTAAAGGATGGGAAACCATCAGAGACTGTACGCTCATAGGCATGTTCTTCCAGAACATGAGTCCAGATATACAATCCTGAAAATTCATGTTGCTTTCAAACAGTATCCTGCTTTAGAAAATAATGCTTTGAAAACAACCAAATCCATTAGCTGTAGCCTGCCTGTCAGACATAGGACTCCAAGGCAAATAGTCTTACATTACTAGTAATTGGCATTTATTTCCAGACAATTTCAAATGGAATCGGGAATCGGGAATGACATGCAACATGGCATGTATTCCTGCTGTTCCATGCAGCAGAGTCATTTGTCCTGTAGGTGTTCCCAATGAAAGTAGAATCTCATAATACTTATTTGAAATATTTACACATTTATTCAACAGACGTTTTCAGAATAATGTAATACTAACCTTGCCCTTTAGAAATGTATTTCATTATCATTCTACAACTAATGAGCAACAGAATTGCAGATATTAAATCTTAATCTTCTTGTGTGGCTAGATGCTATTTGTAAAAGTGGCTCTATGAAATGCCTTCAGCTTTTAACCCAGACTATGTTACTGTATTTTTATATGAACACAGAGCTCTTAGGAAACTTTGAAAGTTTAAAAAAAAAATTCTTGAAATACAAATTTTCTATGGAATTGTAAGTCCTCAACCAAAAAAATCAGTCAGGAATGAAAAGGTCCACATCTTCCTTTAATACTACCAGATTGGAGCCATAAATGTTGCACATTTCAGTGGAGACTTTTACCAACTACATATTAAAATGTGTGACTAATTACTTGGATTATATTAAACAACTGCTTATTGAATACCTACCATGGGGGAAACAACATTAAGCAATATAGCCTTTCCATTAAAAATTATTTTACTGAGTGTTCCAAAAAAAAATAGACTATTGCTTACAAGACGATAATTAGATAGGATGGGAATTCTTTACCATGGATGGGATTACGTTGTACATTAATTCTCCACTCAAATGTTTCTGTTGGTTAATCTCAGAAAAAGAAGGCACACGTGTTGTTCATCTCAGTCCTGGAGAGGCGGCGACAGCCCCACATGGTGTCCCTATGTACTAGGTTTCACACTGGATCTGTCACTTAGCAGGGAAGTGGAGAGACACTTCTGATGCCAGGTTGTTTCCAAATGCCTATGAGAAAAGCCTGCTGTATTTCTGCAGGATTCCAAACTGGAATATAATCGGTAAATTGGTGTCAATCTTTGCATTTCCAGAGGTTAAATAAAGAAGTGATACTGGATTTTTATGAGAGTGTATTTGTTGTTCTTACAAAGGGAGTCTGATCTCATGATATACCACCTAGAATCACAAACACAGTGCTACTGGGAGAGTGGCAAACCAATGGGTTGACAAATTTATCACGAGTCAGCAAGTAGCTTCTGATACAAAGATGATTTCAAAGTTTGCTGATGCACATGAGAGAGAGCATTTTGGCTCTGTGGTTCTGTCTCACCCAGGCCCTGATTCTCTCCCCAGTGTGTGGCAGCTTGCTAATTCAATTAATTTCTTTCTAGCTGAACAAGAAAGAGATCAGTGAAAGGTTAATGTGGTCCTAGGCAGTTTGATGCAGCTGCATCCGGAGCCACCACTGCACTGTGATCTGTAGGAGTTGAGCTGTTCTGGCCAAAACAGAGCCAGGGGACCAGGTCTTCTATGGACCGAACAGGGTCAGACCCAGGGAGTTCTAAGCAGCATTTCTTGAGAAACTTCAGAGAATGCACAAACCTACAACAGATCATAGCCCTGCTTAATTTTTAGTTTGGAAGGAGCCAGTGTCTCATAAAGGATTATTTATAAATGGAATAGTATAGGTGGGTCCCAGACACTAACAGTGATAGAGGGGCCCCCATATTTATAAATGTTAAGGGGATGGGATGAAGTGCCTAACATAGCTTATCTGTCTTATTCAAGCTTTTAAATGAAATACAGTTGTAGATTTAAATGCACATACAGGTATGCATGTAAATGCATAGTCAATGGAATACAATGAAATAAACTATTTTGGTGGTGAGAGACATCGTTAATTTTGCACACATATACGCACATCAACAGTTCCAGCCACATTCACTGAATTCCTATTGTGTGCCTGGCGGTGTACTGGAGAATCAAACAAGGACAAGACAATAGACCTGATCTTAAGAAGCTTGCTAATCAGCTGACCTTGGCTCTGAAAGCCCCATAGAAAAGTCAGTTCCCTGAGTCAGTCTGAACATTCCTAAGGAAGGCAGTGCCTGGTTGCCCATTGAAAAAGACATTTGCACAGCACTTTGTCCCTCACAGTTGATAGATGGCTGCAAATCATTAGTGTGGCTTTTAGTGTAATGGGATGTTAAAGGTAAAAGATTTGGCTGAACTGAGAGAATTGTGAAGGGATTCTGAGATATCGGAACCACATGTCTCATGCATCTATTAGGAAATTCAAGAACTTGCAGATGTTTTGTAACCATCACAATGAGGGACAGGGTAAAGTTCACAGGCATACAGACCTGAGCAACCTCCACAGAATAGGTGGGTAGCAGGTGCCTCACTACACACACACCTGCCCAGGCAGCAAGGAAGGAAATGCATGTCAGGGGCCAGAGGGACTTCCAGCCCTTGTGTTCCTATGGGGTGTTCTCACCTCACCCCTACCTCTGGCCCTGCAACAGGCCGTTGAGGAAATAATGAGGTTTTAGTTCAAGGGTTTTGAGAAATAGAAGTGAACTTACAACCTGGAGATCTGGGTTCAAGTTTCACACTTGCCACTAGCTTTCTATATCACCCTGGGCAAGTCACGGCACCTCTCAGGATATCAGGCCCCTTTCTTGTGAGTGACGGAATGGGAAGAGGCCTCGAAGGTCTCCTGCAACTCAAACATCCAATAACTATTTTGCAGATCACGTCCCACCCACTTCTCAGGAATATCTACATCCCTTTGTCTCTGCTGTTCCATGTTCACTTCTCCAACCAGCCTTCTTCCTTTCACTGAACTCCATGGTATAGTAGGATGATCCTTGGCATTAGACAAAGCTGGGCTCAAAACCAACCTTCATCCCACTCACTAGCTGGGTGATCCTGAGCAAGCCTTTGTTTTCTCATATGTGCAATAAGGATATTAGAGCCCAGTAGGGCCACTGGGAGGGATAAATTAAACAATTTAAAAGTGGGACAGAGTGACTCTTTCTCAGTAGGGCTTACAAGTGGGAATACTATCAACACCCCCACCAGCAG